TCTTCGACTGAATTGTCAGCCACATTCCCCCTTCCCCGCCTTCTTCCTTTCTTTCAGCCCCCCCTCCCCCGATTCAGGCTCCAGACAGTTGTGTGAAGCGCTTTGAATTGAGAAGTCCTCACGACGTGACAGACTAAATAAATGTAAATTGTAATTGTGAGAACCATCATTTCTACAGGAGCCATTAAGCAAGAAAAAAACTTTTCTCTCTGGGTGTAAATGTGCTCAGGGTAGCAACAGCAGGGAGGCCAAGGCCAGCCAGCCAGCCAGCGGTACGGGACCTGTTAAAACAAGCAGAGCTCATGCAGACTAGCAGTTTGGGAAATGCTGACTCAAACTGTGAGCGAGCGATGTTTCCATCACTGTCCTGTACTAAATGCAGTGCTCTCCTCGTTCCAATTACAGGGTGGGGTCACGTTGGCAGGAGCCTACTTCATCTTTGCATAGTGGAGTCAGAGTGCTGCTGCAGGTTTGCCACACTCGTCTGTTTCCCTTTTAAAAACCTCACTTGCTTGCTATTGCGCAAATTGGTTGCCGTGTTCGCCCCCAAAACACAAAGTCACTCCACTTGACAGTAAATCCTGTGAAGCGCTTTGGGACATCATCCCGACTTGAAAAATGCTATATGAAATGTAAGGATTATTATTACTGCGTCTTTTCTGCTGCTTTTATTTCCCACCTTGAAGTTTGTAATCAGCTATGTGAATGAGAAAAGAAATTATGAAACAAAGTCACAGAAACTTTGTAACTTTTTAAAAATAAAAGTTTATTTTTTAGTCGGCTAGTTACCTGGAGCTTGTGCTTTACAGTTACGATAATGATCCTTTCCCCACTCACATTCTCTGTCTTACTAACTTTCTCCCTCTCCCTTCCCCCTTCCCCCGCTTGTAAAATCATAGAATCTTACAGCACAGAAGGATGCTATTCGGCCCATCGTGCCTGTGTGGCTCTTTGAAAGAGCTACCAACTAGTCCCACTACCCCGCTCTAATCTAATAGCCTGCAGATTTTTCCTTTTCAAGTACTTATCCAATTTGCTTTTGAAAGCTACTATTGAATGTGCTTCCACCGCCCTTTCAGGCAATGCATTCCAAATCGTAACATCTTATGTTGCACGGTTTCTTTCCCACCCTCTCTTGAAAGTGCAGAGACAGGGTAGGTTACGCAGGTACCAGCTGGCTTCCAGTACCTCACCTGGGTGGCCATGTTTAATGCATGAATTTAGACAACCAAGGAGGGGTTGCTAAGGGAAGGATCACTCTGTCTAGCATTGATTGCTTAAAATATTGTTCTTTTGGATGGCAAATCCTACTGTAAGGAGATTGCTATATTTAGTGATTGGCGTATGATAGGTTCCGGTCACTTGTCAGCAGATCCTTTGAACATTTTAGGGTTCAGAGCCGAGCCCTGTCCTCACCGAGCATCCAAGTGCATTCTTCAGCAACAGCTGCTGGTAGTGACTGAGAGCAAGAACCCTTGTACTGAGGCCAATTTATAACCCCCACCACCCAGACTGAAAACAGCTGGCTCAACTCTGTACAAAGGACGGATTGCGCCTTTATGGGCTAGTTTCAGACGAGGCAACAGCTCAACCAAACTGACCCATCCAGGCAGCTCGGCTTTAAGTTTAAAGCTAGAAATTTGAGGCTGTATATGTAGGCGTGGAGGAACAGACAGATCTTTGTTTCAGCATGATATTTGTGGCAGTATATTGAGACTGTAGAACACTGGGCATACTCAAGCAGTGACTTCCCAGAGGTGCAGGGCAGTGGCAGCGAATTACTCCCTGTGTGTTTTGCACTGAAGATTCCTTAGATTAATGATTGAATCGAGGAAAATTATGGCTAGTTCTGATACCTGATGACAGCAGCCAGCTCTTCCCTTAGTGATGACTACCCTGGTTACTTCCTCACCCCGCCCAGCAGTAAAATGCTTCTCATACCCCATCAGTATCGTGCCCTTCAGACATGAGCTGAGCATCTGGATAAAACATTGTTTAAAGCACTGAAGTGGTGTAGATTGATGTCTGTTGACTGGCTTATAGAGTACCACACCGCACGCATTACCCAGTCTGAAAGCAAAGAGGATGATGCGACAGGAGATCAGGGAAGTGTAATGGACATAGTCCCCAGGGGGTCAGCGTGTAAACTTTTGTTACCCACATTGTGTAGATGAAAGGACTCTGGTGTGTCTCATTCTCTGCCTGGCTCATTGTCTCTCGGATAAGAAAAGGCCTTTACCTTTACAACTTTATAATCCAGCTAGTTACTCAAGCGACCCAAAGGGATGAAAAGCATGTCTGATTGCCGCAGACTGGATTAGGGATCCTTCCTTTGGACTGTTTTTGAAGCCAGTGCTGCTGTGTATCTGCACATTACTGGGCATTAGTTTCACAGGAGCTTTTGCTATTTGTGCCTTGGCAAAGTGGCCATTATTCACGTGGGAGCTTTGAGGCTGAGTGTTGACAGGATATTCAACCATGAGGTACGTCTCTGCCTAGCTCGATCCTGTCCTCGCCTGAAGGCCAGATATGTGGACATTCCAACAGGAGATAGCGGTCAGGGAGTGGGAACTCTGGCAGAATATCTTGTCCTGAGGAGTTTGACGCAAGCCATGCTCCTGAAACAACAGAGGATACTTTCTTCCCCAGTAGGGAGACCAATGCAGGATCTTGCTCCCTCCTGGCCCCAGGCCATTGAGGCCAAGTGTAGAACAACAACAACTCACATTTATATAGCACCTCTCACATCGGGAGAATGTCTCAACATGCTTCATGAGGGTCCACGTACTGCTTTCTTGCTCAGGAATGGCTATTTCCACACAGACCAGAGATTAAAGCCAGCTCATTCTGGTCTGGAGGCCCAATACTGCACCACCCCCTGTGCATTCCCCCACTGAGCCACTGCGAAGTGACATACATTTACTTGATGACTGAAAGTACTTCAGTCACCAGCTCACAGGAGGAGGCAGCTGCAGACAATTTCTTCCCTCCGTTCAAATGTCTCTTGTTCCCGAATCTCCAGCTGTTCAAATGAGGCCGAGCCCTGTAAAACAGTGCATGGTTTGTTTCATCCAGTGTCAATTATAAGCTTTTTCAAAAAATTACCACAGCTCAGGTTGCGCATGTGTGTTTGTGCATGTTTGGGTGCGCTCGCATGCGCGTGCGTACTACATGCTTGTGAGTATGTGTTGCGTTTCAAACATCCCAGCAGCATTTATAGACTGGGATGGAGAGGAGGAAATCGGGCATCACTATCCGAATGGTGCCCAGTGTATAGTAACTGTGTGAGGGGAAGGGAAGCAAACTGGATTCTGCAAGACAGACTTTTGTTTTTTCTGTGTATAAATATGAGCAACATTTTCTGTCCTAATTGGTGCAGTAGTCCTAACAGGCTGGATCAATACAGAGGTTAAGAAGGTCCTCTGTTCAGAGACTGAGTACATTGTTTTCTTGCTATTTAAAAAAAATGGATTATGCTATTCAATTCTAATTGCTGTATGAAGAATGTTTGCTCCGTATGTAATCCAGCCAGTTAGATTGTGTTCTCGGACATACTACGTCACATTGTGCCTTGGTTTAGTCCATTCACTAAGTGATCCAGTGCACTGGTGCTTCAGCCAGAGCGCTGTACTTTGGACACCAACAACAAATTACATTCACATGTCGAGAGAACGTTGGATAGTCATGGATTTGGACCCGAGTAGGGGATTGGGATCAGGAAGGGTGGAGGACAGAGAGGGTGAGGGTAGGAGGGTGACCAAAGCGCAGTCAAAGTGGAGGGTTCTTGAGATGGACCTTGAAGGAGGCAAGGGAGAGAGCGAGACGAAGAGACTGTGTGAGGTACAAAAGGGTGGGGGCAGAGAGGCTAAAGGCACGACTGCCGATGATGGGGCAGGCCAGGCGGGGGATGTGGAACAGGCTGGAGTGAGGGGACTGATCTATATGGAGTGAGCAGGTCACAGAGATAGGGTGGAGCAAGGCTGTGGAGGGCTTTGCATGTGAATCCCTGCATGATAAGCTCACAGCTTCAGCCGTGCTGTTGATCTCTTGTCCGTGGATCATGTGCATTATGTGGGGAGATCTCAGGAGAAAACTGGGAAAAAATAAAATGTCACTTGTGTTATTCCCTTCACATCTGCTCTTCTCCAGAAAGCTATTTTGTGTTCCACAGATGCCAGAAGATCTTTTATTCCCATGTCCTCAATTTTTCCCCATACCCCTTAATACCCTTTACTTCCCAAGTATCTTGGTATCTCTAACAATGCTCTAAAGAAAATTGGGACATTCACTTCATGGCTGTTTGTGGAAATTAGCGGCCACATTCGCTAACGATATACATGGTCACTACACCTTACAGTTAATCCTATGAAACACTTTAAGACATTTTGATGACGTGATGAATTGTTACATCAAGGGTACGGATTATTATCTATCTCCCCTTTAAACATCCCACTGGATTCTGCCCGGATGACATTCTTGGACAAGTGCATTCCAGATACTCACAAACCTTGTGTGAAGTAATGCTAGAGGAGCAGGCGTGTGTTATATTGGCTGCTATGTAACCAACATAGAGGGTCGGCTGATTGGGAATGCGGTGCTTGAATTGCACAGGGCACGTAGGAACTGGCATAAAATGGAAAATGTTCACTGCTAACTTGGCAAATATGTTAGCACAGCAAGTTCTGATGAGGAATCAAGGGTTTGCTTCAAAACATTAACATTTTTGAACGAAATAATTTTGACACACTTGATCATCATCCTTTACACACTATTTTGACTGTTAATATGAATGGTCAGTGGCACAGTACACTGTAGGATCTAAATCTGGCTTTGCCTGTGTCATTGTACTTGTTGTTCGTTTTCATTCTTGTGTTGGCCAACAACTACACAGTCACTACACCCAACAGCAATTACCCATAAACATCTTTGGGAACTTTCAACCTTCTCGGCACTGTATCAGAAGCCAGGATTATTATATATAGGGTTATTTGTCTTTCTAGTGTTGGATTCTGCGTCTGAAGAAAAGGATCCAGGGACTGCATCTTGTGCTAATTTGGACACATTAGTTGATGCAAGTACAGACCAGGAAGAAGATGGTCCAGATTATCAGCCTGAAGCCCATGAGGAAAATGGAGGTAATCTGGCCTTGGTGTGGAATATGGTTACTGGCCCTGGACAGGTTGTATTAGAACAGGCTCTTGCACTTGGTGTGTAGGTCTGTTTTGACTTTGCTAGTCTGAGGGAGTGGATTACAAAGACAGCTTGTACTGTGGCCAACACATCCTTCATGTAAGGGATTGTGTTGTGTGTTGACTGTAGTAGGTGCGGAGTGGAGGCCTGGACATTCCTGGAATGCTAACAGACAGAACAGTCCTATAGGTGGTATAGGCTGCCCTCTTGGACTCCCATTTTCTCAGTTTAGGGATTGGTGTGTGTGGTAGATAACATTATTATCTGCCACTCTCATACATGCCTTCATTACAACCAGGCTTGACTATGCCAAATCTCTGATGGCCTTCCCAACGCTTCCCTCCATAAACTGCATATCACCCAGAACTCTGCAGCTTGTGTCCTCTCCCACACCAGGCTCCGTGACCCCATCACACCCACCCTCGCCTGGCTCCACTGGTTCTCCATCCCTCAGAGGATAGAGTTCAAAATTCTCATCCTCACCTTCAAGGCCCTCCACGGCCTTTCCTCCTCCTTCCTCTCCGACCTGCTAACCCCTTATCAACCTGTCCACTCCCTCCGATCTGCAGGCTCCGACCTGTTCCATGTCCCCTACGCGACCAGCCTCACCATCAGCGATCGGGCCTTCAGCCTCTCTGCCCCGATCCTCTGGAACTCAAACCCACATTCCCTTTGCCTCGCTCCCTCCCTTGCCTCCTTCAAGGCACGCCTCAAGACCCTCCTCTTCGACCGTGCCTTTGGCTATCCTCTCTGCCCTCCACCCTCCCTGATTCAAACCCCTGCTCAGATCTTAATCCCTGACTGTTCAGCGCCTTGGGACGTTCTCTCGATTTGAAAGGCGCTTTACAAATGTAATTTTGTATTGTATTTTGTATTAATAATCCTCGCGTTTGATATAGCAGCTATGATGTCCTTATGAATGTTGCTACAGCCTTCTGACCCATAGAAAAGAATGCTACCAACGACCTGTCTGTGAAATCTCTCATGGGCTCTCTATAATACTTCTAATGGCAGGTTTAGACAGTAGGCTAATGCACAATCTACCAGGAACGATTAGGAAATTCAGCAGTATAGAAAGAATAGTGAGGTTTACACAACTCTAGGTGGGCGGCTGGAATTAATTGAGCATTTGGGGATGGTGATCAAACAGGAATTCTCCCATTTGTGAAATGGGGTGTGAGCTTGTGGCTGTTGACTCACACTGACTGCAGGTTGTGCTCAGCCTGACAGGACAGGCTTCTTGCTACAAAGTCACTTGAGGTATTGTCAATACACCTGTACCCAACCCAGTGATACTGCTTGTTCTATTCCTCACCCCAAGTTCATCATTTAATGGGGTAACATTCCTGAAAAAACGTGCTCCTTTAGCAATTTTCTTTGGTGTGTACAACATGGTTGTGTGTGTCAGGAACTGTGGCTGGAATCTCTGATGGACTGTATGTGATATGTCTAATGCAGGTTTGGGTGACAAAAGTGTTCTTGGTGGCAGCTCTGCTATTGATGGTACTTTGAGCGAGCTCACTGGTTGCTTCCATGGAAGCTGGTGTCATTGTACCCAGTGTAAACTGACGTGTCTCTTGTGGGATTGTACAATGTATATTTTGTGGTATGAATAAAGTGCCACTCTGAGGGCATTGGTATTGACATGGATGATGATATTTTTAGCTTTTTGTGTGTTTTGGAGGTTCTCCATTGAAGAGCAGTTCAACCTTAGGTGACACTTTTGTGATGATATCAGTTAACATTGGAGAGGTTATTTATTGAGAATGACAAAGTATTTCCTTTTACCTTTTTAATTTGTTTTTAGTGGTTTTAAACATTCTTTTATTGAGTTGAACCGTGCCGTACGTTTATGTTGTCTCTTGGTAGTGATATTTTATGAGAGGGGATCAGTGTGATTTATAAAGGTGTGGTATGTTCCTATATTCCTTGTATAATGGCCTACTGTTATTACTGAGGCTGAAATGGTAGAATTATTTAAGAGGGAACTGTATAATCACTTGAGCTGTAAAAATGGTAAAGGATATGGGGAAAGTGGAATTAAGTTTTGGAAAAAACGATTTAGAAAAACTAGTGCCAATGACATGATGGGCCTGAAAGCCTTCTTATGTCCAGAAAATGATTTTGTTTCTATAACTGATTGCTGATCAGGGGTTAATGGTCAGCTTGCAGCAATGGTCATGAAGATTGAAACTTGGCATAAACACACGACTGACCTGATCCAAATGTTGCCAGCATGTGTATTGTGTATCCACACACGCACACACATTGATTAATTCATCTGTCCCCGTAAACACATTGGCTTGAAAAGCTCATGTTTGGTGAGGAAGGGGATAGCGGTTAGGGGTGTTCTCTCTTCCATCCAAGGGGTGGGATGGTTAGATACATCAGGACTATGTTTGGTTGAAGGTTCACCCACTGCCACTTTGCTCCCGTTCTGCAACTCCATTTCAGATTTCCTCTGTCTTGCCCTCCAAAATGCTAACCTAGGCGAAGGGCATTATATAAATGCAAGTTGTTGTTGTTGGCCCTAGACCTTTCTGCCTTCGAAAGCCGCCTTAATAAAAACTAGCTCTCTGAGCCATCTTTTTAATTTCTGTAGGAACAATGAACAACTTCCAAATTAAGGTTGAATCCCAAGGTGAATGCTTTTACAGGCTACGACTAGGTGAAATTTTTAGGCTTCAGGAGGGGGAAGCCTATCTGATTGTTTCCTCCTTAATCCAGTATCATTGAGCCATAGACCAGGGAGCCAAGCTGGGACAGCTCAGCAACTCATTGGATAAATTTGCTGACCCATCAGGGAGTTCAGTGAGTGCTGTGATTTTTACTGTGTATGTGTGTGTGTGTCTGTGTGAGTGTCACATCTGTCTGTGTGTTTTTATCGTGTCTGTGTGATTTTTAATTAAGTGTGTTCTCTTCCATAAGATGTGTGTCTGATCCCTCACCTGGGCATTTGTGTTCCAGCAGACAGAGAGACTGAAGTGATTACAGCCTCCAAGGGGAAGGCGGTGACTTTGCCAAATAGTCCTGAGAACGACGACCTGTCTTCTGTGAAGTCCATGATGTCGACAGTAATGAACGTGGGGAAGCTCAGCGGGGATGCGTCCAGCCCTCAGAATCACAAGAGCCCCTCCAAGTCTTCCACATCCACTCGCCCTGGGAAAAAGCAGCAGGTAGGAATCAACTAAAGGTCAGGCTGGACTCGGAGTGCAGAGTCCTGAAATTCCTCATGGTCTTTGCCTTAACGACAGGAAAGCTGCTTCCAATTTGAGACTGAATTTGGAGTTCAATTTCGCTTTTCGTCACTAAACCCTAGAATTCTGGAAACTTTTCCTATATCCCTCCAGCTTGCCCTTTCCTTCCCCATCTTCAGGTCATGCCTGAAGATGTTCCTCTTTGACTGTGCCTACGTCATCTCCCCCCACTTCCCTGGCTTGGGTCGTGGTCCGCCACTGTAAAGCACTCTGGGATGCTACCCTGTGTGTGAGGTGCTGTATAAATACAAATTGTTGTTGTTGAGTTCTCCAAAATGTTGCACAATCATAGATTTTAAGGCTAAGAACATGAGGCTTCAGTCTCTGGTGTATCTGGACACAGGACTTCTCCCCATGTGCCTGTATCTCGTTCTCGTACAGGTTCTTTTACTCATCACTTTACCATCAGCATCGCTCAGCTAATCCCTTGCCCTCCCTGAAACGCAAATCGATACAATCCAATTGAGGACATTTCAGGACTTTGTGTAAATGGGTTGGACAAACCAATCTTAACTAAAATGGCAGAGTGTGCTTGTCTTCAGTGAGCACCTGGTTGCTCAGAGCAAAAATGTCCCAGATTTGGATCCTAACTGTGTTTGTTAATCTTATCCTGGCAGCACAGAGCATGCTAGCATTTTCCTTGGTTAAAAAGGGGGATGTTCCGAGTTATTGTCTGGACACCTCTGTTGGAAAACCTGGATGTAGATGCCGAGTGAGGAGAGAGGCTGCCTGCACATACTCTCTGTGATGGTTCAATAGCCTATAACATTTGCTGTCGAGGCTCACTCATTACTAATGTGAGGTCTGTTGAAAAATGTCCGTCACAATTGAAATTGACCACTGTAAAAGGAAAGAGGCCCTTTCGAACCAAATTGACAAATAATATTATGTTTGATTTCACAAACCATTTAAAGGTTGTGACTAAACGGCCATACAAGTAATTCAATGTTTGTGGGGGTTGGGGGTGGGGGAGAACATTAAAGATTCCATGACACTATTCAAAAAGAGAGAAATTTTTTTGCACTATCCTGACCAACAGTTCTCTAGATAAAATTAGTCATTCACTTCATGACTTTTTGTGGGAAATTGCTGTGTGCAAATAGTCTGTTGGTTCGCTTACAGTTACTATACTTGGCAGCAATTTCCTATAATCGTTTTGACTTTATAGGAACTATATCAAATGCAAGGAANTTTTTTTATATTCTTATGTAGAATATACACAACTCCACTCAAGACAACAGAACTACAAAATAATCTGCTCCAGATGCTCTAGAAAGCATGACAGAGCCAGAAATGGGATGGGTCAAACAGGGACATTTTGGCAGACTTTTCAGCCCCACAGTGTAGAAGTACTGATTGTAATTTTACCTCTTTTCTTTCATCTCTTACCCTCCAAACTGAATAGTTAGCAATCGGTTGAATTTATGGTGGTTACAAGACTCATTTCTTTGGCAAAGGATCCTTATGGGTACGATTTTATTCCTTTGAGTTATGGCAGAAAGATGTTGTTGGAAATACATGTTCAGGTGAGGCAAATGAATGGGATAAATTCTCATCCCCTGCTCCCTCACACTGAGCTCTGCTTGTTGCATGGACACTGCCACCCTCTAGTACCTATTCGCTCTCTTAGGCCAGCACACATGTGCACACACACACACACACACACAGAAGTTTCCAGTAGTTTCAGGAACAGGAGCCTTGAACTGATATGTATTTGCTCCTTGTTCCTGCTCCGGAGACTCTTGAGGACAGATGATAAACACCTACCTGTGTGAGAGCAGTTCACTTAGCGCACAGTAGAGTTGCCTCTGGTCCTCCTTGGTCATCTGTTTCTAAAGCATATCAGAGTACATGTTCCCTCTGACTCAGTTGAGGGTTTCCTTAACCTCGCACCATGGGGGATGGGGGGGAAGATTGATGCAATACATTGTGCCACAATTTTACATCAATTCAATTATTAGTATTTAGAGTATTGAACGATTGTGCAAAACAGTACACCGAGGCTCAGTCAGACTATTTGTGAACGGAAAGCTCAAAGCTTTTTTACTTCTGACATATGTTTCAAACAGTTCTTTTGGGCCTTTTATATGTTTTTTACACAACTGGAGTGTAGAAAAGTGAACCCCCAGTAGCAGCTGTTGTTACGGGTAAAGCACTCACACTTTTCACTGCAGAGTTAAACGTACAGTACTCCTACTTGTTTGGTTGGCCTGCCCGATGCTATGTATGTGCTGTGTGTACAGGTATGGGAGTTAGCATTGCTCCTGGTTAATGATAAACTGCAGAGTCAATATTAATCAGGGCAGGTAGTGCTGTGCTTGAGCTCTGATCTTCAATCCAAGGTTAAACAGAGGGAAAAAAACACATTTGGTCAAATTGTTAAAGCAAAAGACTAAGTGTCTCGGAGTGCGGGCTGAACTGTAACCTTTACCCAGCACTCTCGTCTATTGAACAATACTGTAATTGGGTATTAAGGGGTATGGGGAAAAGGCAGTGGTCATGTGGTTCAAAGATAGGCAACAGGTGAATCCTATTAACTCTTTATTTGTAGTATTTTTGGGAGGAATCCAGTGTAAACTCTTTTCTGGTCCCACAGAGGCTATGTGATACTGTCAATCGCTCACAGCAGTGTCACACCGTGTGTCAGTCACTCACACTCTGCAGGCCATTGCTGGATTGTAAACTTGCATCACCTCTTGTGCACAGGGTCAGAGGTATTTTTAAATCAGCGGCAGAGGTTCTGAGCTCATGGCAGCCTTGCCATGGCAGAGCTCCAAGCCCTGCGTCCTGTGGCAGTGAAAGTCAACTGCTTCACGTGGGTTTAGCAGTGGCCCTTTGAACAACAGTGATGTAACTTCTTTTTTAATCAACGATCTCCATTTAGAGCTGAAGAAACCTGATGGTTACAAACACGAATGGCCTCCACAATTGCAATTCACGCTGACCAAAATCTCTCTTTTTGTTGTAGCAGAGAAGGCTAGAGTATTTTGGGGATGGGGGGAATGGGATGATATCTTTTGTGGCTAACATTTGAATCACTGTACCGTCTACCTTTAAAAAGTGCTCAGTACTAAAGAACAGATTGACACAAAAGATGATTGATAACTTCATCAACCCTTTGAACGCTGATTTGAAAATTAAATGGAAGTATACAAATGAGATTACCCAGTCAGTAAATTGCCCCAGGATAGTTGCTGTTTCTGCATTAATTATTTCCCTCATATTGTTAGTCTCAGTGGTTCCGCCTAGCCATTTGTCAGTCTGCCTCAGTTGGTAGAACTCTTACCGCTTGAGTCAGAGAGTTGTGGTTTCAAGCACCACATTGGGACTTGAAAGCCGCTTTATCAAATGGAAGAATTATTGTTGTTTTCCCATGTGGTTATCATATACTCATCAAAAAAAAGTATTTAGAAATATCAAATTGCACCAGAAGATGGTCAGGAAAAGTGTTTATAAACTTCTATGCAATGGTCACATAGTGCCCCACCCCTCACTGTCCAGACTGACATGTAAACCCCAAAGGTGTCAGTGGGCATTTGCACCTATGGGAATACACCGTAGCCAGAGGCAGTGCTTTCAGGAGCAGAGGACAGGAGAAGACTGGCAGTAAAAATGTTCTCTCCCCTTTTCAGTCTATTTATCATTGAAATCTCAAAATGGGGGTTGGGTAGGGCGGGGGAGAGGTCTGAATGGATGGACTTAACCAGTCGTAAACACAAGCATTTGTCCACTCACCAGCACTCAGTGTGTTGTACGTTAGCACACTGCACCAGCACTGTTAATATTGCATGGGGCAATGTGCACAGTGTTAGCAGCAATGCTAGTGTTCTTTGATGGTGATATGTTCGGAATAACATTTTTGTCCTCCCCCACTTCCACCCAACCTCTAATCAAAAGCACCTGTGATGAGAAGCAGGATACCACTGGAAGGAAATGACTGTTAAGTTTTACTGATTCCTCCACATGTTGCTGGAAGACGAAGGATTTATGTCCCAGTGTTCTCTGTCTGACAGTCTCTCCATCCATTTGGGAGCCTTTGCATGTCAGCTCAATAGCCTTGAGAACGCTTCACTCTGATTCTGCTGAACTTTACCGTTGTGACTTCCTCTTCTCCCCGTGCTGCTTCACTTCACATAACTGACCAAGAAACAGAAAACACAGCAAACAACCATGCACAATGAGGACTCCCTCCTTCTCCTCTTCCACGGTACATCTCAAAATGTACCTCTTTGATTTAAGGTTACCTTTACCCTCCTCATTCTACACCCCACACCACCAGCTCCAATGTCCGGAGAGAATTGTTGAGTGTTTTGTGACTTCCTCCTGATATGAGAGGTGATCTATATAAGTGTAAATTATATTGCATTAGCAGAGGTGGAGAAGGGAAAGGATTTGGGAAAGCTTTCACTGAAAGTTTTCATTCGGTGCGAAACCTCTGTCAACAAAGCTGTTCAAATACTAGGTTACACGTCTAGGGCATTTGACAATGAAGCAAAATAAGTTGTTTTTTAACCTTGTGTTAGATCACTGGTGGTTAGGATATTGTGTATGGTTTTGATTACTCTTTCTTCAAAATGACCATTGGAGTTGAGAAAGTGCTGTTGAGGAAAGCACTACAGGTAACTCGCCACCTTAAGACAAAGACCTGCGCTTTCTGCAGGGAAACTTCATATACATCATTCGGATTTGCATGAATTTGAGTCTGACTGATTGTTCCTGGTGGAAGGAGGCAGCTGTAGCAGTACTGCTTTTCTGAGGAACACTTTTTCAACTCTGGTGAAGCTCTGGACAGAGCAGAGTAAAAATGATGGTTCTGTGAGTTTGAGCTGCAGCTTATGAGGAAAGACTCACAGAGCTGAACTTCTTCTGATCAGAAGAAAGACTGAGAAAAGGGAACGTGCTCCAGTAGTTTAAAATCATTTTGGTATTAATTTGTGTGGATGTAAGCAGGCTATGAGAGGCAGAACTGGAAGACGTAGGCTAGAAACAGCATTAGATGTTAGAAAACATATCTTTCCCACACGGTGGCTGTGAGAATCAGATCAATTGTCTCTTTCTGAAAAACAGACTGGATTAGGATCAAGTTGAAAAAAGGATCTGCTATCGTAGGATCTATATATATATAAATACATTATAGAGAGAGATGTGGACTGAGATGAACAAATTCCTCATGACATAATGATTTCTATGCTTCTGGGCTGAGGAGATGTTGTCTGTGGGGCAGAAGGGTGGTTAGACTGGAGGATTATTACAGAGTTTTTTTCTTTGAGCTTCAGCGAGTCTATACACTAAGTTTTCCCCTCATAAATAGATAAAGCACCAGTAGGTAGAGTCAATTCAATGGTTTTACTTTGCTGTGGAAGAAGCGGGTTGTGTGTGTGGAGGACAGGGATGGCCTTTCTTATTCCGTGCTTGTATGTTCTTATACACGAGTGACCCCTGATCAGATAATGCTGATTTGCCCCAGTGAGGCAAAACGGGAAGAGGACGTAGTTAGAATGCAACTGTGGAGTCAGTTTAAAAAAAGAACCTATTGTGTTTCCCTAGATGGCTAAATAGATAAATGCCTCGTTCGTTGTGAAACTCGGGTACGTGGACCAGGACAGTCCCAGGTTTGTGCTGAGTTTAGTTGATCAGTGGGGCACTACGATTCCCCTGATCTACAATCAGTCTCTACACCCCTGAGGCAGGCAGAGAAAAGTCACCTAGAGTTCCCATTCTTGACCTATGTATATATGAACGCTGAGTTAGGACAGATTAGTGTTGGGTGTAATTTATCCCCCCTCCACCCCCATTGCATTGCTACTGTTACTGACTGTCTTGTGCAGGTTTTGCAGAGACAGAGTGGGACCCAGCCTGAGGTACCTGACTGTGGCAACGCCACGGGTCTGTTTCTCAGTACCAGTCACCATTGAAGGAGAAGAGGGAGGGGGAGCCTCTTCCCCTGGCCCCCTTCACCCAACCCTCATAGCCTACAGAATAACTTTGAAGTTGTATTAAATTCCTCCAGTGAACAGTTCTCTTGTTGTCCTTTCTCCTCTGTAGTCATAGCAGCCGCCCACCTTCTGTCACTTTCCCTACGAACCCTTCGTGCACCTGCACACGGAAGCGTCCGACTGCTGAGACGCTTCTGGCTTCTCTTAAAAAGCAGGACCCGCTGTAAGAGGTTCTGACTGCTATTGGATGAGGGGCTGATTGTATCAATTTACACGCTCTGTTGGCTTGGTTTTTGTCGCCAGCGCACCAATGCCACATTCCATGCAGATCAAAACAGCCTTTATTGCAGCGTCAGGCTTTCCTGGCACTTTCTAGAACACAGCATTTATTTACTTTCTTCCTTTCACAGCCAGAGTCGGGCGTCTTGTCAAGTAACAGGAACCAAGCTCTCAAAAGTGCAAGCTGGCCAAGCAGCCTGTGCTAGTCGAGTTTAGTTCTGCAGGGAGCAGAATTCTTCCTTAGAATTACACTGGCCCAGTGAGAATTTACACGTACTAGTATATTAAAGATGAGATTAAAACTCAGCATAGATTGCATTTTAAGTCAGGAGTTACCCACATTAGCATTCCATGGCTATATCAGAAATGACAGCCTCCGTCACGCTACATTGTAATATGAAAAAGGTGATAGCAATCATGCAGCATCGAGTGATGTGAAGGGATCGAAAACCCTCCAATATCGGTGTCTCAAGATAGAGAAAGGTGCCGAGTGACTTTTTTTTGTGATGCATGTGGAAGCTTGTCACCATGCTTAACAGAATCCAAACTGCTCATGACGTAAACTGAGTGTCCTGCAGGGAATGCCTTGTACATGACACACTCCCACCCTGATCTCCCCTAGCTTCCAAACCTCTTATTTCCAACTCCCAGCTTAGGTGCAAATCCTTAACTGTCTGGCACCTTGGGATGTCCTTCCGACATGAAAGGCGCTATATAAATGTAATTTGTTGTTGTTGGTGACATTGACTGTACAGACCCTGGCTCAGATGGGAGCTGAGGCGTTGTGCGGATGGTGTTTTGTGCAAGCATGTACAGGGTCTACATCATCAGGCCCCACTTTTTTTCAAGCTCTCTTTTCAACCCCAGCCTTCTCAAATAAAACATTTCAACCCCTCTGACTTTAAAACTTAAATAAAGTATTCTTTTTACTTAACCAATTAAGAAATATAAGCGCTGCTCTCCTCCCCCCACTCCCGCCACCACCCCGCCCAATAAACCTGCACTTCTTCCTAGCTGCTGTGGGCAGTAAGACAGCGTCAGCCTGCGCGCCTCACTGGCTAGATAACATCTCCCTCTGCAATGGCAGATCACTTCCTGCAGTCCAAATGGAGAGATGTCTCTCTTTTTTCTCTTTCTCTCCTTTCTCTTTCTTTCTCTCTCTCTGTCTTTCTCTCTCTTTCTGTCTTTCTCTTTCTGTCCTGAGTGGGATGGAACTGGTAAAACTCACTACGTTTTGGGTGATAGGTTTTAAGTTTTTTGAGAGGTAATGAATTGTTAACTGATGATGAACCTGAGTCGCTGGGAGTATGAGGCTTTGCACTTCGCTGAATTAAATAGCACTTTGATTGAAAGGACTTCCCTGCTGCCTTTAGCTATCGGCATAACTGCTGTAAGACAACTGAGACTGCCCGCCTGGACACAATTCACTGTCCTGACATACAGTGTCATCACACTGAGGCTCAACTACACCAATTCCCTGTTTGTTGGCCTACCAACTCTTCCCTCCACAAGCTGCAGATCATGCAAACTACAAACTTACATTTGTTTAGTGCCTTTCATGTCGGAAGGGCGTCGCAAGATCATCCAGAACTCTGCAGCTCATGTCCTCTCCCGCACCAGGCTCTGTGACCCTATCATCGCCACCCTTGCCCGACTCCCCATCCCCCAGAGGGTAGAGTTAAAAATCCTCATCCTCGCCTTCCTCATCCTTTGCTTTCCATGTCTTCTGCCTGTTTCTGCTTACTGTGTAACTGATAACCAGAGCGGATGGCTTGAAGCAGCTGAGCTCTAGCCATATTGCATTGATTTCACAAGAAGTTTGGATGAGGAAGACCCTTTGGCCAATTTGATATTATGCTACCAGGATTCGGACTCTATTGTCTTTTTTCTATCGAAGAGCACAAACTTAAAATGGAATGTATTGTAATGCAGATCTCAGGCATAGCATATCCAACGTATTGCACTGTGTTTGTCTTTGGAAGTCAGGGATTATTTATATTGATAATTAAATGGTGTTTTTGTTTCAATCGTGTAGCAGTCACAGGAAGTCAAAGAGGAGAAGTCTACCTTTATCTGCCCTCTATGTGAGAAAAACTGTGGAACCCAGCACCAGTTAACTACGCATATTCGGCAGGTATGTTGTGCCTTATTGTACCAGTTCTATACAAGATCTTTCAGTCCTTTAGTAACAGCAGAGCCGATCATGATGCTGAGTCTAGAGTTGCCTATCATCGGCTCAAATATGAAATACCTGACAGCGTAAGTAATGGCCATTAACTGTTGTTCCACATCCTTTGTGTGTGTTTTGTTTTTAGTTTCTGATACAAGATCGTTCTTCAATAATCCAAATAGCATACTTTATCTCCCCCTACGTGTGTTTTGTTCTTTCTCTCTCGCACACACATAGACACACTGCCATCTTTTCCTTGAAGGAGCTAAGACCAAATTCATGTTATAACCAGGCACCACTAAACAAAGCTTGCTCAGTTAGTGCCCGCTAATGTTGGCTTTGAGGTTTTATGTACTTACCTTGTTGATTCAAATCTAAGGGTTTTTCCATTAATAAGTTACCTCCGGAATGAGGGTGAGCCTTAATGCTGTGCCCTACATCTGCGGGCCTCCACATATTGGATAAGTGGACTCAAATTCAGGCGGCAATGTCTGAAAAATCTTAGTTGTACTCATGAACGCAAGGTTAGCAAATAGAGACAATTAGCCTGAGCCTCAGAGTACGAAGTTTGCATTTTTGCCTTTGAATTTATGTTTATCAGATGTAAAAGAAAGGGGAAATATAGTTCAGTTGCAGAGTTGGGGCAGAAACTGTTTTGGGAGCCTTTCGAGCAGTGCTGATATAGGCTCCGTTCACATTGTCTTACCATTGTATGAAAACTGACTTCCAATAAATATTTACTGTGATGAAAACCACTGCTTCTTCAAAAGTCAATTCCGGGTGTAGTGTTGGAGGAGTAGAGGTAGTGTACATGACTAGGAAGATGGAGGTATGAGTGTGTGATTTGAAAAGCAAGGTAGCATAGCTGATAACCATAATGTCCTGGGTCCAGCTGGTTCATGTCTGGCTACTATCTTTAACCAAACCCTTTTATTTCTGCAGCACAACACTGACAGTGGAGGAAACAGCCATTCCTGCAGTATATGTGGCAAGTCGTTGAGTTCGGCCAGCTCACTAGACCGCCACATGTTGGTGCACTCAGGGGAACGTCCCTATAAATGTAATGTCTGTGGCCAAGCCTTCACTACCAATGGCAACATGCACAGGTGAGTGAGGAGTGGTCAGTTATTTGATGAAGAATTGCAATCTATGTGGCAGTCTCCTCAGATGGGAGAGGTCTGCTCCATCGGGTTTTGTCTTCTCTGTTCGTTAAGAGATACTCCATTCCTGGCCGAGCCATTCCTGGCATAACCCAGGAGCTCAACTGAAAGCTCGATTGACTTCAGCTTCCTGCTTGTTCCTCATACCCTTCGTTCCACCATCGGTGGCCGCTCTTTCGGCCACTACGCCCCAAAGCTCTGGAATGCTATCTCTCTGCCTTGCCCCCTCTTTCTCCATATTCAGGTCGCATCTGAAGACCTTCCTCTTCGACCGTGATCATGCTCACCTCCCCTGGCTTTGGGATGCTACCCTATATGAGGGGCGCTATATAAGTGCAAGTTGTTGTTATTGAAAACAGTTCCTTCTCTCGCTATTGATTGCAAATGCTGTGTTGGGGCAGTTGTTCCCTAGTGTTTAAAGCCCTGAGGATTGTGGGGGTGAGGAGCAGATTTAATGCTATGGTAAGATCACCCTGGGGGTATGGAGCGTCTCGGGATGGATTGACATTGTGACGTTTGATAAAGCAAACCAATAATGTTTTTTATTTTGTGGATATATTTGTGCATGTGTGTGTGTGTGTGAGTATGTGTGTGCACGTGTATCTATATATACATGCAATATCCATATATGTGCAGTTTTTAAACCGTCTCTGCCCGTGCTGCCCACCCCCAACCACCACCATTGAGCTGTATTTGAATATAACGTACTGTGTTACCCAGGAATATGTAAAAACAGAAAGGACCAGTAGATTCTGTCTCCCCACCAGACCACTTTATGGATCTCCTGCTAATACAGAAACTTCAGAAAATGCCCCTTAGATCACACTTCCTCTTCATAAACAGAAAGGTTTGCAGAAACAGCCTCACGAGAGAAGGGGTTTGGAGAGGGGGGGTCTTACTGTGTGGAATGAAAATAGCATCATTCAGAGAGGAAGCTATAACAAATGCAGGAATTAAAACAATGCACAAATGCAGCTTTCAAAATCTCTCCATCTTCAGCACGACATTTTGTAGATTCCACACGTGGTGCTTGGATTTTGTTTCCTTCCTCGAACTACATGCTGCCTTGGGCCTTCTTTTCCACATAAGAGTGTTTTTGTAACACATTTTCTTGAAGGATGAATTCAGTGGGTTTCAGTCAGTGGAGATGGAGAAGGCCAGTAATTGCTGACCACAGGCTTGTTTCCGTGGTTACCTGTGTGTATGTGCTGGGGAAACAGATGCTTCCAGAGAGAGAGAGAGAAAAACTGCAAAGATGCTTATAACAGGGTTGAACATTTACTGCAATGTGCATCTGAAGCCCGTGACATCTCCTGCTTCTACTCTGTTTATTTGTCATTGGATGCTCTCTTGACCTTTCGGATATATTTTCTTCTGTAATTTGAAAACAGCCGTGTTCATTGTGTATGGGGATAATCCTACTTACAAACACCATTAATGTAGGTGAAGGGCTCCAAAAACTGGCAGAGCTGCACCACAAATGCAAAATCTTGTCTGGAGTTGATGCCTCAACCTCTGTCTACCGTCACTTATGTAGAATAACATATCAAAGTGGCGATTAACAGTGGGGGCAGTGGAGGTGGCATCATGAGCTTGTTTTGGAAGCGAATTCCAGAGGCCTGGAGGGTGGTGGCTGAAGGTCAGCCTCCGAGCAGAGGGAGTGGAGCACAAGCAACAGGCCAGTGTCAGAGGGCAGACTGGGTCTATAGGAGATTATATGGCAGATAGGGTAGTTAGATCACGGTGGGGTTTGGAAATAATGATGAGGATGTTGAAATTCGTCTGATGAGCGGTCAGAGTGTCAGCGACTTTATTTTTCTGGCACCTGGAGTAGGGGGAATTAAGCTTCATTGCTGACTTAGTGTGACTATCCTTCTTGGGGTGGGAGGTAAACGGGGTCTACTTGGAGCTGAACTGGCTCCAAGGCAACATGTTTGGGAACAGAATATCGAAATCGAGCCAGCCCTCTGTGGTGGTCTCAGTAATCCAGTTCCTGAGCCAGGCAGGTCTACAGTATTCCAGGGCACTGACGATGACAGCACAGCCAGCCTGGCTCATCAGCAGGACTTGGGACGGCAGACAAGTCACTGGGGGCAGGGATTCATTCCATTCAGCTCCTGTTAACCATGCAAGCCAAAGCCCTAATGGGTAGGGTGGTCCTGGCTGGACAAGCAGCAGGAAAGCTTGCCAAACAGTGCTAGCAATGACAAGCTATGCAGTTTTCGCAGGTTAGACTCCAACACACTCTAGGGTCCCCAATCCTTGGCTCTTGCCAACCTGCGCCTAATACTTTCCGGAATTAAGTAAGCAGGTTGGTCCCTCTGGAGAGGGAGTATGCATTCCGTTCCAACAATCTATCTCGGATTTCCATATGTAGGTGGGATGCATGGAATTCTCAATTTGGTTTAGGTGCTCTTAGCATAGTGATGGGTTTCAGCTTGTGTCAGACATCCGCCTGACCAAATAAAATTGATGACTCAAGTCAATGCAAAGTGTGGAAGTGACCCACACTGACTGGCAGATTACAGATGTGCCCAGAGGTAGCTGGTTTTAGGCAAGGTGCCAACTCAAGTCACCGGCAATGGCTGCCGTGCCCTGGGTTAGAGAGGGGATTGGGATTAGGTAGTTTCTTTTTCTGGTCTCGCTCCAATAATAATAATACTTGCATTTGATATAGTGCCTTATCACGTCTTCTAAACATCTCAAAGCGCTTCACAGAATATATTGTAAAATGAATTGACAATGAATTGTGCTGAGATCTAGACTGGTGAGGAATAGGCTAGTGAGGGTAAATGTAGGTTCAGTCAGAGACGGGAGAAGTTGTAATGGGGGATAAGGACATGGTAGAGTCCCTAAATGGGTACTTTGCATCTGTCTTCACCTTAGAAGACACAAGTCTGCCAACAATAGAGATGCACCAAGGGGATAAGGACAGGGAGCAACTTCGGGAAATTTTCATTAGTAGAGAATTGGTGCTAGGGAAACTGTTAGCACTAAAAAGTGACAAATCCCCTGGTCTGGATGGCTTGCATCCCAGGGTTTTAAAAGAGGTAGCTTATGAGATAGTGGAGGCCTTGTGTCTGATCTTCCAAAATTCCTTGGATTCTGGAACAGTCCCCATGGATTGGAAGATCGCAAATGTCACACCACTATTTAAAAAAGGTGGAAAGGAAAAGATGGGGAACTATAGGCCAGTTAGTCTCACATCAGTGATAGGAAAAATTTTAGAATCATTGATTAAGGATGTGGTAGTGCGGTATTTAGGGGAGCACAATATAATTAGGCCAAGTCAACATGGCTTTACAAAAGGGAAGTCATGTTTGACAAATCTCATAGAGTTTTTTGAGGATATTTCGAGTAAACTAGATAAGGGTGAATCAGTGGATGTGGTCTATTTGGACTTCCAGAAGGCATTCGATAAGGTGCCGCATAAAAGGTTAGTCCAAAAGATAAGAGCCCATGGAATTGAGGGGAGCATATTAATGTGGATTGGGGAATGGTTAACGGGTAGGAAACAGGTTAGAGTTAACGGGTAGGGATAAACGGGTCTTTTTCAGATTGGCGGGATGTGACTAGTGGAGTGCCACAAGGATCAGTCCTTGGGCCTCAGCTATTTACCATCTACATCAACGATCTAGATGAGGACATCGAAGTTAATATATCTAAATTTGCGGATGACACAAAACTAGGAGGAAGTGTCAACACAGAGGATGACATTAAAAAAATGCAGCGAGACATAGATAGGTTAGGTGATTGGGCAGGTAGGTGGTAGATGAAGTATAGTGTAGGGAAGTGCAAAGTCATCCACCTAGGTAGCAAAAACAGTAGAGCCGGTTATTTTTTAGAAGGGGAGAGATTGGAATGTGTTTGCGTCCAGAGGGACTTGGGTGTCCTTGTACACCAATCACAGAAGGTTAGTCTGCAGGTGCAGGAAACAATTAGGAAGGCGAACGGTATGTTAGCATTCATTATGAAAGGATTAGAGTATAAGAGTAGGGAAGTCTTGCTGCAACTGTATAGGGCCCTGGTGAGACCACACCTGGAATACTGTGTGCAGTTTTGGTCTCCTTATTTAAGGAAGGATGTACTTGCCTTGGAGGGGGTGCAGCGTAGATTTACTAGGTTAGTACCAGGGATGAAGGGGATGAGTTACGAGGATAGGCTGACCAATTTGGGCCTATATTCTCTAGAATATAGAAGAATTAGAGGGGATCTTATAGAAACCTATAAGATCATCAAAGGGCATGATAGAGTAGATAGTGGAAGATTGTTTCCCCTGGTTGGAGAAACTAAAACCAGGGGTCACAACCTTAAAATCAGAGGCCAGCCGTTTCGCACTGAGTTGAGGAAGAACTTAGAGGGGTGAATGTATGGAATTCGCTACCCCAAAGGGTTGTTGACGCTCAGTCCCTGAACATATCCAAGACTGAGATAGATATATTTCTTATTGCAAAAGGGATTAATGTCTATGGGGATAAGGCAGGGTTAGGTTATTAGCTGGAGTTAGATTAGAAGATCAGCCATGATTGAATGGCGGGGCAGGCTCAAAGGGCCAAATGGTCTACTCCTGCTCCTACATGTTATGTTAGGTGAGGACAGGATTGGGCTTGGGAGAGAGGGAGTTCGGGTCAGTCTCTCAACCTCCCCCCAGTCAGTGCTGACAAGAGCATCAGTTGTACTGTGTTGTGAAATAGTGCACCAGAAACAGGAAGAGGAGAATTGATATAAATAACTTGAAAATGAAGACAAATCTGACAGTGGACACTTTCATATCCTGGTTTGCCTACCAGACCAGCAATTTTCAAAAAAAACATGGAAAACGCATTTGTATGTAATAGGGCCCAGACTGTGTAAATATCTTTCTCTTTTCCCCCCCCACCGCCCCCATAAGCCTCACTGAATGAAATGATACAACTTTCAGGGTCATTTCTTCATCAGTGTCGCCT